AAGCAAAGCTAGGCTAGGCTAGGCAAAGTCAAGCTAAGCTAAGCTAAGATAAGCTAAGCTAAGCTAAGCTTAGCTTAGCTAAGCTAAGCTGGGTGAACCCAGGGGGTGCAACTGGGGGAATTGCGGGGCGGATGCCGGGGGAACCGCCCGGGGCGGGTTTCATTGCCCGCCCCTTTAAGATATAGGGTAAGAACCCTTCCAGGCAGAGCCTAGGTAGGGAATGATATGCTGATGATGATGGCGATAACCATGACGATGATGACGATGATGAACGGTGGTGTTGGTGGCGGTGATTTCTGTGGTGGGGGCGACGATGATGATCATGGTGACGACGACGGTGATGATGATGACGATGATGAAGATGATGATGATGATGATGATGATGATGATGATGATGATGATGATGATGATGATGATGATCATGATGATGGTGCTGACGATAATGATAATGGTGATGATGCTGATGATGATGATGAGGAGGAGGAGGAGGAGAATGAGGAGGAGGAGGATCAGGACGAGTAGGAGGATGAGGATTAAGAGGGGGATGTGGTTGAGGATGCTGTGAAGGATGCGGATGTTGATGATGACATTGATGATGGTGATGCTGCTGATGATGATGGTGATGATGATGATGATGATGATGATGATGATGATGATGATGATGATGATGATGGTGATGACGACGATGATGATGGTGGTGGTGTTGGTGGTGATTGATCAATGATGGTGATGGTAACGGTGCTGTCGGTGTGGACGATGGTGACAAGGAGGAAGACGGGGAGGAGGAGCAAGAAAAAGGAGAGGAGGCTCCCTCCCCTGGACGAGAAAGATGAGGAGGATGAGGGAGGAGGAGGAGGAGGAGGAGGAGGAGGAGGAGGAGGACGAGGAGGAGGAGGAGGAGGAGGAGGAGGAGGAGGAGGAGGAGGCGGAGGCGGAGGCGGAGGCGGAGGAGGAAGAGGAGGAGGAGGAGGAGGAGGAGGAGGAGGAGGAGGAGGAGGACCAGAATGAGGAAGCAGCCCCAGCCCCCCCCACCTCTCCGAAGGAGGGGGGGGGGAGCACGAGGGAGGAGACGGGGAGAGGATGCGCCTCCACCTCTGGGGCGAAGGAGGAGGCGGAGGAGGACGAGGAGGGGCCAGGGTATAGCCACACGTGCAGGCGAGGCTGCAGTACATCCGGCCCGTCCCAGGCCCCCGTCCTCGTCGGCCCCTGCTCACGTTGTGCCCGGCGCACAGCGCCCCTCCCGAGAGGCGAGCGCCCTGTCTAGGCCCGAAGGCCCCGCGGCGACGCACTCACCAAATTGCCCCCTTGCGAGGGCGATGTGCACGTTCGAGAGGGCGGCTGGCCTTTTCGGCGGCAAACGCACGGGCGGCGCACGGGCGACGAATGCGCGACGCACCTCTTGTCGCGAAGGGGGGGGGGGTCAGCACGCTGGTCGTCTTACTGGGCCTTAACAGAGAGGAGCCTCCCTCCGTGCTCTTGAGCGGCAGGCAGGGCGCGCCGAGGTGGGGACCTGCGGCGCTGCCCGGCGGGGGCCCGGACTCGAAGAGGCTCCGCCGTGCATCCGTGGATTACCAGTTTGAAACATATCCCTATCCCTATGTTTGACATCACTTCACCTCGATGCCGATCTCAAGGATTCCCTCAGTTTCTGAGGGCCTGTCCCTGAGATTGCCCTCGTTTTTTTGCTCGCCCATCTTAAGGATAGGGATACGTTCGAGGCTGGTGAGTGGAACTGCCGCGGCGAGCGTCCTTTCTTCAGGGGGGGAGAACACACACAGACACGACGAATCGTGGATCCCCAAGAGATTTTCGAAGATGTGGGGAGTGGGGGGAAGACGAACCTCAAACATATAGATATGGAGAAACATGGGGAATCCTGTGATCTGTGCCTATTTATCCGTGTGTCCCAGGGCCCCTTCATTTCCTGTTCTCGTACCAGCGGACAATCCCAATCAGCGGATGGTCCGGACACTATGGATATGGACATTGAGATCGATTGTGAGCGCGGTAGTGAGATCGATGGAGGGATCGATCGTGAGGGCCATAGTAGGGTCGATCGCGAATCTGATGTGAAGTCGATCCAGCGAGATCGGTCATGAGATCGATCTTGAGATCGCTCGTTCGGCTTACAGGGCGATCAATAGTGATATCGATCGTGCAATCGATCGAGATGTGGGTCGTGAGATCGATGTTGAGATCAGTCGATCAGGGGATCGACCAGGAGTCCGGGAACCTGGAAATTCGGAAATCCCGAAACCTGGGAACGTCGCCGCCTACCGAACCCGGCCCAGAACCAGTAACCGGGACCCCGAGAACCTGGAACCGGGAACCCGGGAACCCTGCTGCCCACCGAAATCGGCCAGGAATTGTCGCCATTTGTTTCCACATGCGTTGGGACCCCTTCAGTGCGAGCAATGATTGGGGAACGAACCTGGACGAAATGTCAAGCGAAATGCTTATCGAAGGAACCGCCCTCCATCCATGTAGTTGTTGCCCAATGTCTCTTTTGTGGCAATGCAAATCTTGGATCATCGAGAACGAAAGAACCCGTAATCCTAACAACACGATGGAGACGTGGCCTCACTCAAACCATTTTTTTGCATTAGGGATCGTATTTTTGGGCGGTTTGGTTTGATACGTCTGCAGAACAAGTCCTCCTATCCCTAATGTTTCCCGCCCTCGTAATTTAGGCCCCCTCCCGAAGGGTTAGGGGTGCTTTTAGTGCTCATCACTGGGTGTCCCGATGAAGCCCCCCGTGTTGAAAAGTAACCGCCCTCCACCCTTGTATCAGGAGGAAAAGAAACACACAGACACAATGAATCCTCGATTCCCCAGAACATATGGGAAAATATGGGAAGTGGGGGGGAAGACAGACACCCAGAACATATGGGAACATATGGGGAATCTTTCTATTTGTGTGTATTTATTCGTGTGTCCCCGGGCCCCTCCTTGCAGCCGCAGGAGTTGCCTAAGCCAAGTCTATATGCCCGGCGCCACGGCGAGAGCCCGTTTTTTTTGGAAGTCGGCCGGCCCTCCGCCGCTGGAGGTGCCCAGCGAGTGGGCCCAGACGACGAGTGGGCCCAGCGTTGGGTCGGGCGTGCCCCCCTGCAGGAGGAATAATTGTTCGAGAGCGGTCGACAACATAGTCCGGGGACGACGTTCCGAGTCTGTCTTGGCTGCCGTCCAGTTTTCGTCCAGGATCCGCCCTGTAGGGTCAAGTCGGGCCTGTCCCTCTACATATTCAACACTAGTCAAAAAATAGTCTGGGGACTATTTCTGGAGTATTTTGTGACCATTTTGGGGTACTTCTTGATTCTTTTTGAATTTTTCGTCGGAAATCCCCCAGCAGGGGGACACCCCCATTCGCGCTTCGCGCTTCGCGGTCCTCGTTCCTTCTCCCCCTCCTCCTCGTCCTACTTTTCTCCCTCTGGAGGGGCGGCGCGAGAGCGCGAAGTTATTCGCGCTTCGTGCTTCGCAGAGCGCGAAACGCGAAGCGAGCCCCCCGATTTTCCACGACAGGTCAAGCCGCTCAGAGAGGAGGGACTCGGGGATGCACCCCAAGGGGGCTGGTCGGGCGCACCCCTGTCGAGGACGGGCGCCCCCCGATCGTGCGCAGATCCCCGAGCTGGGCCCAGCATGTATGGTCCATTCGGAACTCCTACGACTAGGTGAACAAAAAGTGACATAAACATAACAATTCGGAGGTCCGCGCGGGTTTCTTGGATCCGCGCTGGACCCTCTCCCTGGCGCGCGGAGCGCGCCAGGGGCAGCGCCGGAGGCGCCGCCAGGGGGGTCCAGCGTGGATCCGAGAAATCCGCGCGGAGCTCCGAGTTTTTCTGTTCATGCCACTTTTTGTTCCCCTAACGACGTCTGGGATAGGCGTCGAGATATCCCGTGTTAGGGGGGGGTAGTGGGAAAACGGGGCGGCAAAGGGAGGGGTCAGCATCGTCAGGGCCCCGTGGCCTCCGGGGACCCGGCTGCCTCGGTTGAGGACCCCTCCCCTCCTCCTCCTCGTCCTACTCCTCCTCCTCCTCCTCCTCCTCCTCCTCCTCCTCCTCCTCCTCCTCTACGACCCCTACGACTAGGGGAACCCCTGCGACTGGGGGAGCCCCGCCCGAGCCCGGCGCCAAGGCGAGCACCCCGCTTCGCGCAGACCCGCCGCCCATCCGCCCGCACAGCCGCTGCAACCTTCTCGGGAGCTTTTCTCGGCCCCTGTGGGCGCGGTCGGGTGTCGCCGCGGGCGGAGCGCTCCCGCCCTCCCTCCCTCCCTCCCTCCCTCGCTCCCCTCCTCCCCCCCTCTTTCCCTCCCTCCCTTCCCCCTCCCTCCCTCCCTCCCTCCCTCCCCCCCCTCCCCCCCGGCGCGGGAGCCCCCCGCGACGGATCGGAGGAGGATTACCAGGCTCGAACTTATCCCTATCCCCAAGACTGACATGCCAAACGGCGACGACAACCTTAGGGATTCGCCCTCAAAACGTAAGGGAATCCCTAAGCTTGGCATCGTGATGAGGAGATGCCCAGCATAGGGATAGGGATATACTCCAGGCTGGTAAGAGGAGGAGCAGCAGCAAAAAGGAAGAGGAGGTGTGGACGGGAGAAGAGGGCCTATGACGAGGGGACGGGAGGATGAGGAGGAGGAGGAGGAGGAGGACCAGGAGGAGGAGGAGGAGGAGGAGGAGGAGGAGGAGGAGGAGGGTCCAATCAGATTTCGATTCCGTGCTGATGCACTGCGATCCGAAGCACATTCGGGTCTGATCCCAAGAATGAGGAAGAGGAGGAGGAGGAGGAGGAGGAGGAGGAGGAGGATGAGGAGGACGAAACCGATGTAGGGGGAGGGAGGGAGGGAGGGAGGGAGGGAGGGCGCAAGGAGGGGAAAATGGATGATGATGTTGCTGCTGCTGCTGCTGCTGCTGCTGAGGGAGAGAGACACAGCAGAAGAGGGCGCCAGAGTGCCTGTGCGCCCACTACTCGCCGAGGCCGCCGAGCACGGCGGGGCTGGTCCCTCAGACGACCAGGGACCTGTCCAGCCACGGATCCCTCACACCCTTGGACCCTGCTGGAACTGGGAGCCACCGCTCTACCAGCACTCCTTGGCGGGTCAGACTAAAGGCCTGACCCACGAACACGCCGTAGAGCACCATGAGGAAGCCCGCGGCGACGACGATGCCCTCCGGCAGCGCGCTCAGGGCGAACCCCGAGCCAGCACGTCCCCGAACGTGCTCCGGCGGAGCGCTTCCGGAGCACGCTGGGCCCCACTGCCACCGCCACCTGGCATCGCAACAACAATTATGCAGCCGACGTGGAGGCCGAAGCCGTTCTGGCCTGGTGGCCCCGCATGCTGTCCAGCAGCAGGGAGCCCGCGGTCATCACGTTGGTGGCTCCACGCCATGGCCTCCCAGTCTCCAGCGCGACCCGCGTGTTGGGATGCAGCCCGCGCCGCAGTTGCTTCACTGCGTCCTTCTCCTTCCACCGCGTCTTGGGCACCTTGGATGGCCCTCGGCACGGATCCCTGAACTTGGGTGAGAGCCGATTCGACTCGCTGGACCAAGCGCCGCAGACCGCGCACCAGATCGCGAACCCCGCCGTCTCCGTGACGTGGCGGGCGCCCACCGTCGGCGGCTCGCACGGCGAACAGCATAAAGTTTGGAGCGAGGCCTTGGTGGTCGCGAAGCGGTAGCACACCGCGCAACTTCAGCACTCCGTTGGTGAGCTGCTTGAGGTCGTGGGCCACGATACTCAACTCTGGTACCTTCATGCCCACCTGGGCCACCTTGGCTACCTGCTGCGGGACCGCAGCTGACCCGCCAACTGAAAGCGGCACTGCGCGCTCAGCCGCCCAGGCCACGTAGCGCATGGCCTCCCGAACGTCCCGCAGCTGGATCTCGCACGCCCGCACGTGCACCTCCGACACCATGATGCTGGCCGAGCCCATCTTGGCGAAGACGTCGGCCCAGAAATTGCCGACGTAGCGGAAAGCCGTGCCGTCGGCCAGCACGGCGTCCTCCAGCTCGCGGTGGGCACGCACCCACTCTGCAGTCGGCATGGGCACGCCGCGCCCACTCCACCGTCGCCACGATTTGCCGCCAAACCATCGCGTGCGGAGCTCGCGGCCTGGTGTGCCTACCCTGCCACTCGTGGACCTCCTGCACGAACGACCTGTGGTCTGACAGCACGTGCACTGGCGGCCGCCCAAGCTGAATGGCTCGCATGCTGGCGTGGCGCTCCGACCTCGGCACCGTCTGCACGAGCCCCAGGAGGCCGCCCCAGCGCGCCTTAGTCGGCAGCAGCTCGTCCGAGATCTGCACGACTGACCATCCGCACCCGCGCACCTCCACGACCGACGAGTGGCGGCCAGACCCATCGACAAAGAGCTGCTGCCCCCAAGCTTGTCCCTCCAGCCCCCACTCGAACTCCGGGAGCTCCTCGGGGACCTGGTCGGGCAGCGGAGGGGCGAGCGGCAGGGCGAACTCCAGGTGCTCGTAGCTGGGCCCATCGCCCGTGTCCACTGCCTGCCCCCGCAGCCTCTCTCGGGTGACCAGCCGCTCCTCGGGGAAAGGCTCCTCCACCTCATCGTCCTGCTGCCGCTGCACCGCCTCGCACTCGAAGTACAAGTGGCCGTTGGAGCCCTCGGGCGCGCCGCACAGTACGCAGTCCGGTTCTCGCACCTCCCCGCAAGAAAAGAGCGCTGAAGAGGCCAGAGCGCGTTGGCCTGGAGTGCCCGCAGGGCCCCGCTCCGCCTTGGGCAGCAGCGGCCCACGTCCTGGTGGCCCAGGGCCAGCGCCCTCCCCCAGACCTGGAAGCCCTGGTAGTGCGCGGGGTAGTGCGCCAGCATGCGGCGCTCCTGCTATCTCATGATGCCCTGCTCCAGGAGCGTCAGGACATCCGAAGGCGCCTGGCGCAGCAGGTGCCCGATCTGGCCGCGGTCGTCCCGGAAGTGCATTGGGTCACACAGCTGCCAGTCTAACCGGCGCAAGCTAAGCCATACTGCCGCCGGGCCCGCGGCAATGGGCCCACGTGACCTTCATGGCATCCTCGATCTTGGACTGCATGGCGAGGAAGGTCTTGCGGAGCCTCGCGGGAGAGCCCCTCGCTTGCCAGACCCAATCTGCGAAATTCCCGACCACCGCCATCGTGACCTCGAAGATCGGGTCGAAGGTCCTGGCTGGCATCGTCATCAGGTAGGTCGTCAAGGACCCGTGGCCCTTGTAGCCCGCGAAGCGGCCCGCCGTCGCACGGAGCTGCCGGAGCGACTGGTCTTCGCACCCGGCCACGCTCGTGCCATGTGCGGCCGCTGGCAGGACCCCAGTCTTCCAGAGGATGCCCGCCTTCCTGGACCCCACGGCCTTGCGGAGCTGGTCAATCTTGCTCCACTTGCCGCCCATGTTCACCATGCGACGCCTATGGACCAGCTTTTGACCGCCCTGCCGTGGAGCTCGTGGCCAAGGTTCCGCATGTGGGCTTTCCCGCGGAAGCGGATGACCTTTGCGTACTCCGCGAACTTTCGCTTCGCCTCCCTCGTCGTGGCGACAAACCCGCACTTCGCGGGCTGGACCAGGCAGCCGAGCGGCTGCAGCTCCAAGCAGAAGGTGCGCACCGTGGTCCAGAGCTGGCCGAGGGTGCTCAGGTCAGTCCCCACCCACTGGAAGGAGACGTCGTCGATCAGCGCGCGTGGCCGTACTGAGTGCTGCTGTCGAGGAGCGGTCGTCGATCAGTGCTGCTGCTGAGGAGGAAGAGGAGGGGAAGGAGGATGAAAAACGATAGAGGCAGAGAGTAAACGCGCGAGGAGGGGAAAGAGGATACGGAGGATACGGAGGACGAGGAGGACGAGGAGGATGAGGAGGAGGCGGAGGACGAACACAAGGAGCGAGGAAGAGAAAGAACAGAGGAGGAGGAGGAGGAGGAGGAGGAGGAGGAGGAGGAGGAGGAGGAGGAGGAGGAGGAGGATCAGGAGGATCGGGATGAGGAGGACACCGTGGCGTAGCGGAGGTGGAAGACACATGATGAGCCAACCTATGCGCCAGGGGTGGGGGGCGTGCAACCTCGGGGTGGCGGGGTCACGGGTGGAGCTTCCGGCCGCGTCTTCACGCATGATCTCTCGAGCTGGATCGGTTTGTGAGGTCAGGGGCAATGTTAGGGGTAGCGACAGGCTCAGGAGGGGATGCATCGGCCCCTAATCGCCCACTGATCGCCGACAGGGGCCCGATAGCCCGCCCCGCCCAGGACAGTGCGGCTTCGCTATCGGGGGCCTCTCTCGGATCTATTGGCGAAGTGCCGCCGATTTCTGGTCGATGTTCCCCCGCATGGGTCGATATTCCGCCTCCTGAGCTGGTCCCCCTCTACGGCCAAGACGCTGCAAATAAGGACCGCTTTGGGTCTGGAAGGGACGCGCCGTTCCGTAGGTCATTCCGTGGTTGTTCCTCGAGCCCTCTTCGTGCGCCCAGGCTCTTTGGGTGCCAAGGAAAAGGGACCTCTTTCCTTCTGCAGCGCTCCTTCCTGCAGCAGCTTGGCTGTGTCGTCTCCCCGCAGTCCCGGGGGTTCAGGCATGGCCACATCCGAGGCCCGAAAACCATCACTTCACTAATTTTGGGCCCCAGGGCCCACTGAGGCCCCAGGGGCCCCAGATTAGTGAAGTGATGTTTTTTTCCCACGTGAGGACCCCGAAATTCATCACTTCACTAAACCGAACCCAGGACGAAAGTCAGGGGCCGAATTGCTGCTGTGATGCCACATCGGCCTCGTACCACAGCGCTCCACGCCCTTCTTCCGCGCCGTGGGCGCGCCAGCAGGCCGGGGGACGCCATGAGCGCATGCCGGCACGTGCCCTCTCTGGCCAGGGGCCGAGCCGGCGCCCCGGAGCGTGCCGTGTGTGTGTGTGTGTGTGTGTGTGTGTGTGTGTGTGTTCGGGGGTGGACAGAACCCCCAGCAGTGACACGTCGATCAGTGAATTGTCCGTTTTCGGTTCTCGAGAGGGCGCCGTGGCCGTTTTTTTCCAGGCTTGCGCCCGCCAAATTTGGGCCTCAGGTCGTTTTCACTAAACCACGTTTTACTAAAGGGGGGTCTGTCCATCCCCGATGTGTGTATGTGTGTGTGTGTACGTGTATCTTCTGCCTTCCGCTGCGCCGCTCACTGCTTGGACCTGCCCCTCGGCACGCACGCGGCGACCCTCGCGGTCCGAGCGTGCCTCCTCCCCGCGTCTTACCCGACCCCACCCTCCGCGCTCCTCTGGCTCGGTGCTAGCTGTGCCTCCGGCGCGTCCCGCCGCCGTTTGGATCTCCCAGGGCCGCAGGCCAAAACAGCGCACGTGTACATATGATGTGCATGTATTTCTCTCTCAACATACATATATATATGTATATGTACATGTGTGTGTAAGTGTGTGTGTATGTGTATGTGTATAGGTACATGTGTATGTGTATATGTATGTGTATGTGTATGTGTATGTGTATGTGTATGTGTATGTGTATGTGTATGTGTATGTGTATGTGTATGTGTATGTGTATGTGTGTATATGTGTACATATGTATGTATAAGCAGTGTACGTGTGTATATATATATGTATATATGTATGTGTACGTGTGCGTGCATTTGTGGCTGGGCGAGGGCCGTGCCTGCTTTCTCCTCGCCGTCCATGTCCTGATGCCAATGTTCAGGAGGGAAAAAACACACAGACACAATCAATCGTCGATCCCCCAGAAAATGTGGGAAAATCTGGGAAGCGGGGGGGGAGACAAAAACCCAACACATCTTGGAAAATATGGGGAACATTGTGTGTATTTACTTGTGTGTCCTGGGGCCCCTGCAAATGTGCTGCTTCCCCCCTGGGGTGGCCACGTGCGGCGAGCCAGCGCGCTTTCGCGCGCGAGGGCCTCCCCGAGTTGTTTCCTCGGCCTCGTCGCTGCGCGCGACGCCGCGACCGCCACAGAATGTGTGCGTGCATCTGCCTTCCGCCGTGTGTCCACGAAGGCGCACGCGCGCGCACGGTCCTCCTCCTCCTCCCGATTCTGGATCCCGCGCGTGCGTCGCCGAGATCAGCGTGGGTGCACAGCCGAGCGGCGCCAAGGAGCAGGGCCGACGGCGCGGGCATTCGCGCCGAGGGTGCCAGCGTAGGCTGGCGCACCAACGTCGCCTCCTCCGCGCGGCGTGCCGCGTGAGCTGCGCCGCGCGAGCCGCCGCGCTGGGCGGTCCCGCCCTCGCGCGCCAGACCCCTGGGCGTGCCATCGGCTGGTCCTCCGCTCCTCACCGCCCCTGCGGGGCGGCAGCCACCGGGGCGCCCTGGGCGGAGCTCCGCGTGGGGCCACGACGCGCGTGAGGGGTGCGGCACGCGGGCGCAACAACCGGGGGCGACGAGGCGTGCAAGGGGTGTGCTAAAAAACGCCTCGCCGTCTTCGCCCCTCCCCAGGGCGGTACTCGGGGTGCAGAGGCGCCGCCGCCGGCCGCCGCCGCTGGCCGCCGCCGCTGGCCGCCGCTGCTCTCGTCGCTGCTCGCCGTCTCCGCCGTTCGCCGTCGTGGCTGTTCGCCGCCGCCGCCGCTGCTCGGAGTCGTCGCTGGCCGCGCCTTGTCCCGTGCGAGGCGGAGCTGCGCCCGTCCGCGGCGGAGCATCTGCTGCGGCAGCAGGTGCTCTCCCGAGTCTCTCCTCGTCTCTTCCTCTCGGCCCCTCTGGCCGTCCCTGGCCCCGCTCTCCAGCTGTGTGCTTGCCCGCCTCTCCCTCGGGCCTGTCTGCGTGAGTGCTTGCCTGCATGTCTGCCGCGTCTGGCTGTCCGCTTGTTTGTCAGTATTATCGCTGTCTTTCAGTCTTTCCGCCGTCTTTTCACGGGGGTCTCTCCTGGCCAGTGTGCGATTATTTTTGTTGGTTCTCTCCCTTTCCCTCGCTCTTGCTTTCACTATGTTTTTTTTGTTCTCTCTCTCTCTCTCTCTTTTCCTCTTTCTCTCAACCCCTCGACCACCTAACTGGCCAACCTTCTGTGATGCCGTTGCCTTCCCGGTGCCAATCATGGCAGACATGGGCCACAGAGGGTCCCACCGGGGAGCCGCGGAGCCCGAGAACGCAAGGGCCTGCATCCCTTTCGCCTGAGACTCGGGCCGAACGAAAGGGGGGGATAGGGGCCTTCTCGGACCGTCTTGGGGGCCTCTTGGGCGGCCCCAGAAGCTGTCGTGGACCTCAAGAAAGAGCCCGAGAAGGGCCGGACCCTCCAAATTGACCGGGCCGGGCTCCGGGGGGAAGGGTTTGGGGTTGGGGAATCGGGCCAGACGAAAGGGGGGGATCGGGAAAGGGGGGGCTTACGAAATCTGCTGCGTGCAGCCGGTTTCGGCCCCGCCGCTGGGCCCATTCCTCGACACCTGGGCGCCTCCCGGCGCGCGGAGGCGGCGGGTAAATCAGCTACGTGAACTGATTCTCTCACCCCCCCCCTTTGCTATCCTTAGAAGGCCGAGGGTTCGCTAGGGACTGGTTACCCCCCAAAACAATGAAAACCCTTACAAAACCCTCCCGAAACCCTCCGAAGACCCTCCTGGAACCCTTCCTGGAGGGTTTCCAGAGGGTTTCGGCAGGGTTTCGGGTATTAGCCTGCAGCCGTGTCGCCCGAGACCCCCTCCGCGATGCCCTCGGGCGTCGTGCCGCTCGCGCTGAAGGGCCGGCTGCCAGGGGGGGGGGGACAAGCGAGCCCGAGACCGCCCGGCTCGACAGCCATTTCGCTTGAGATGTCCTCACGCTGTACATTGATACTACTAATCGTAAAATTAACAATCATAATAATATTAATAGTGATACGAATAAGAATAGGAATAGTATTAATAATGATACGAATAATACGAATAACAATAGTAGTAATAGTA